AATTACTCCTGTACAAGCTTGATGATAACCACCATGTCTATTAGTGCGGCTATTTCAATAACTAATGCTAATGATATTGTGATTATGTCATGGTAAATCATTTCTCACATGTCATGAATCGGTGCAATAATGTGCAATAATGTGAGAATGTGCAATATGGGACCACACGTGTCCACTGTCACTGTCGCCCAGAGCTTCATGCTGCTAACATGAAACCTCAGAGCTTATAACTTACTACCTCCATTCTTTTTGCACTGAGAGTAATACAGATTAATCTACAGATGTTTAAGTACAAGTATATATGTATTTGCACTGCATACAGCATTTTATACATGTTTTCTTTATTAAGCTAAAGATAGAGATTTTAAATTGTTTATGTATAGTATGGAAGAACTTTTGGAATAGAACATTAATTGTCAAAATTGGATATAACATTACACTTTGACAAATACAAATACAAAATAAATACTAAAATAACATAATGCATAGCCATTTGACAAATGAATAGACAATTGAATTCAGGTGCCAATAGTCTTCCATAGTATAGAGTTGTGGTTTAATATTCTCTTATCTTGTGCTGTGTGCTCCTCATTCCTAGTGTCCCGTAACTTGTGATGCAACACTGAAATTTCCCCACTGTGGGTCGAATAAAGCAATTCTTCATCTTAGTAATTCACATGATTAGTTGGATGGTAGCCTGGGCTTAGCCATTTGTAAACTCTGGTCAATTATCATTTCCCTATATGTACGAAATGAAATCAGTACGATGGTGTGGTACGACCAGGCTAAATGTATAGAAACTTGGACTTTTTTCTCTCTGGGCTTGGGGCTGGCAATATTCAGCACTCAGCTCTGTTATTGCCACATCACTAATAATAACAGAGATCGAAAGGTGAGGCAAGATACACTTCATTCTCCATCTGCCTTTGACCCAATGCCTCCAAACTGGCACTATAGAGCAACCTGTCAGGAGCAGTGAAAACCTAGAAAGGAAAACTTCCGGGTCTAATTGGCTTAATTACAATGTTATATCAGTGATAAGATAACAGCTGCAGCTCCATTATCCACAATAAGGGCACATGGGCAGCCACCAATAGCAAGGTGAAGATTTATTGAAGGCAGTGACCTCCTTCACCTCATGGGGCAAACACTTGAATCTATAAAACACCAAATATTATATCAAGGAATTAGCAAGGCAAGGATTCGGAACCACAATATCAGTTTATCAGCATTGCAGCATTACGCGTTTATGGTGTGCGTGTGTGCTTCTATACCCGCTCTCCTCCTTCCTCCTGCCGCTTCATTTGGCTCTATATTTCGCAGCCATTAATCGCCCGATCAATCAATACGCATCGATTCGTCGCCTCTGTCACCAACCGAGACAGAGACTGAACCGTGTGACATCAACAAGCTGCAAAACATACGCCCTTTTTCCAAGCATCCACAACCCTTTTTACGCGTCCGTCTGCAAGATGATGCCAATAAATGAACACAGAGAGTGCATGGAATGACATGATGTGATTGCGTTTTTTTGGGGAGGGGAATCAGGGGGCAACGAGGGAAGTAGCAGTCATTCAGATAAGACACGTTTGGGGGGAAAAGAGAAAACGCCCTGCCCTTCGTAGAGTCAAAAAGAATCCTAGCTCCAAGCCCACACATCGTGCACACCCTAAGCGAGCCCTTTTTTTTCCTTAAATGAAAAGTCACATTTCTGGTAGAGGCTGGAGTGATTTTCCCTGCCTTTGTTAACCATCTGCGAGCTGCGTAAAGGCGCGTACATTTCGGGAACACGTTGATCCAACCACGGGGTGTATAATCCATATGGCATGTGCGTAATGTGACAGTTTTAACATATGCAAAATAGCGAGGTAGCAGCAGGACTAGCTTTCTCCCCTTGATAGGTATAAAGACAACAGTAACAGAACCCATGCGTGCACCCATCTCGGCATGTCAAGGCGAAACGCAGCACAAAAGACCATGGATTGAGCGAGACATTGGTGAAATGAGTGTTTTCAAAAGTTTTACCTTTAACTTGAGTCTCATATTCAGCAACTATCTCCTTGTCCTTTCGGAATTTCGCTGGAGACGTCATGGCTGAGTTGTTTTCAGTATTTTTTTTAAGGGGGGAACCAAACCTCGTCTCCAAGCCCCTCGCAAGGATTTTCTTCTCAATCGGTGGGAATTCTGAGAAGATGTGGCTTATCCCGAAGGCAGGGTTGGGTGGTAATAAAAGGGGGGAAGCAGAGGGCCCCGTGGTGGTCCGTGCGTGGTCCTTGGGAATGCCCGAGGATCCGCGTTGGCTGTGCGTCCCGGCGGCCGCTCACTCACTCACTCAGGGCGCGTTGTGAGTGAGTTTGGTGCTGTTGCTGTGTGTGGATCCCATCTGCCCAATAAACCTGCAGCAGCTCCCTATCTCCTGGCCCGAGCACCGGTCACAGATGCATCATTCTGAAACAGATTTGTCCCACGCGTAAAAAAAAGGCAGAGAGAAAAACTTGTAAGAAAATAAGTTGTAGCAGCAGTAGCTCTACGTACGACTCCACTCCTTCCTTCCTTCCGTCCGCGTTTTGGAGCTGAACTGATCTCCACCTCCTTTTTTTCCCAGTGAGGAATGAGAGGAGGATCCAAGTGGAGCCAAAAGGGGCAGGTCGATCTGCAGCCACATGGAAAAGTTAGCAGAAACGAAAAGACTGAAAAATGTGTGTAATTTCACTGTTTGTTTTTGCAACTACATTTATAGATGCATCACATACATAAATCATTTGGAGTTTAGAGATTTAAGATAAGATAAGATAAGATAAACCTTTATTAGTCTCACAGTGGAGAAATTTCAGTGTCATCGTTGCACATTACAGCAGAGAAAGGAAATAAGAGCACTCAGATTGCACACATCAAAGTCTATTATTTAAGATAATAGACAATAAATTTAAGATAAAATAAAATAAAATAAAATAAGAAAATCTGGGCTACAATTGCACTTGGTTCGGAGTATTTACAGATGTCTATATTATACATTAGCAGCGGAGAATATGAGAATATGAGCAGAATAAACATCAGAAATAATATCAACAGGTAAGGTGACTTGAATGGGAGAATTATCAGATGGATATGAACAGTAAGATATCAACAGGTAAAGTGACAGTGGAAGGCAGAATTATCAGATATGAAATAATACAGTAGTACTGATAACAGTAAATATCAGATATGTAGTACTGTAGTAGTACTGATAACAGGTAAAAAGACTAGTGACAAAGTTACTTGTGAATTATCAGAAACACTTGTGCAGACTCAGCAGTTCCTGTTACACATTCTCGTTGTACAGTCTGACAGCAGCAGGAAGGAAAGGAAGGAAGGAAGGATATTAGGTCAGCGTTTCTCTAATGTTTTTTGGTCGTGGCAAACCTTTTGCATTGGAAACAGTCACATGACAGACCACCAGCTAAACTGATGCAAACATGAAACTGCAGTGAATGGCAAAGTCATTCTCATCAAAGGGTGTTATATAGAAAATCAAACAAGCGAAACCAAGTCTTTCTTTTTTCACCACATTTAATTATTTCACTAGATTTGGACTAATGGGGTGACAACAAGAGACAGATAGTCAGTTGTTGGTGCAGAATATTAATTCTCCACATTACCCTCCACTTTAGTTAGGACTGCATTAAAACTGGTAATAACTGCTCAGGATACGGTTAAGTTTGCTGATCAATTACTATTACTATTATTATTATTATTATTTAAAAAATATTATTTATTATTATAATTATTTATAAAAAATACTTGCCAATGCGTTACATAGATTCACATTCACATATAGTCCTGACAAGAACCAGGAAGTACGACCATATTAGTCCAGTTCTCAGGTCTCTGCACTGGCTTCCTGTGGCTCAGAGAATAGACTTTAAAACAGCTCTGCTTGTGTACAAGTCTCTCCATGGCCTCGCACCAAAATATATTAGTGACATGTTAGTCCCATATGAACCAGCCGGACTCTGAAGAGCACAGGGACTGGACTCTTGTTAGTGCCCAGAGTCAGAACTAAACATGGGGAGGCTGCTTTTCAGATTCATGCTGCTAAAATCTGGAACAGTCTTCCTGAAGATGTGAGACAGGCCTCCTCTCTGGCAATGTTTAAAACCAGGTTAAAGACAGTTTTGTTTAGCTGTGCATACAACTGAGGGATTTTATATTTCTATCTTTCTTTTTAATGTTCTGTGATTATTTATGATTTTAATGCTTTCTTGTTTTGTTCAGCACTTTGAGTTGCCTTGTGTATGAATTGTGCTATATAAATAAACTTGCCTTGCCTTGCCTTGCCTTAGCTATACGCGTTATTATTATTATCATCATCATTCGCATAATTGTTATTATTATTATAATTGTTGTTATTGCTTTGTTCTTATAATCGCTTTGTTCTTCATTAGTGAATATTTCAACGGCGCAAAGGGCTTTTTTAAACAAATTAAAATAATGAATTTGCGACTGTTAAATAACTTTGACCAATGGAGAGACTTCTTCCATCCTTCGACCAATCAGAATCGACCTTGCTGTTTTTTAAAGCTAGTCCCAGGAAGTCGCTCCAACTCCAGGAAGTTGTAAACAAACAAAGCTGACAGATGCTTTCGCTGTCAAACACATCTGAATGGATCACTCTCTATCCCCGTGAAGGAGACGGGATAGTCGCTCATTTCACACCGTAACCTTCACAAAAAGACCACAGGGATATTATTATTTTTTTCGCCTTGTAGCGTCGTTACCGTCAAGCATTTGCGCTATTGTTGACAAGCTAGCATCTGTTAGCCACCCGACCCGTCGCGGTTTTGAAGAAGAACACGGCCATCAAAGCGTTACCTGCAAGTTACTCACACGTTCCTGATTTCAACACGTCAGCAACTTGGTGTTTCATAATCAGATTGCTAATTGTTGAGCTGCATTGTTTACGGCGTGAAGACTGGGCGATCGGAGACAGCAGCCTATTAGCATTAGCGTTAGCCTCAACTATGTCTACGTCCAACGCTAATTTCAAAAACAAATGTGTGAGCCAAGTCAACTGCATCTTCTGCGACAGTCTGCTCTGTACGAGAGGGATGAAGGCTGTGCTCCTCGCAGACACCGAAGTGGAGCTGTTTTCCACCGATATTCCTCCGAACAGGTCAGTGCTAATGCTAATGCTAACCTTTGTTTAGATTCTGTCCTCGGGCTGTTATTGTGTTGGGTCATTCACCATGTTATGCACGAATGATGCATTTCTATTCTCTTCCCTGTGACACGAAACATGCCCATTATAACTTCATTATAACGTGTAATTATACATGAAATTAGTGAACAAATGGTCACATAACGAGTTGCTACATGTAACGTGCTGTGGCTTGCTTTTCCTCTATTATTTGTATAAGTTTATGAAATGTGAATGCGTATGTTTCCCACTTCTATACTGGGAACTAGTTTTATAGTTTGTTGACATAAAACTTGAACTATTTTGTCAGGCTAAAGTAGATTTTACTTTTGCCAGACAAACTAGTCCAGATGTTGATTTAAGAAGTACTAACCAATTGTTTTTAATGTGAATTCATTATTGACTGCAATGAATTCAGGAAGTGTGTTTAGCCAGTGTAACTTCTTTTGAACTCCCTTTTGAGATTTGGGTGGAAACATTTACAGTTATTGAAGTGTTCTCACGTTTGCATAGAATTACATGAATCTGTTGATGTTTGTATGTTTTGCATGGAACACACCTCCCCCTCAAAGAACTGTTGACTTTGTGGCCAGCTGCTACTCCACTGAAAGCTGTAAATGCAAGCTGCGAGACATCGCCTGCCTCAAGTGGTACGTGACACCCCCCTACTTCCCCACAGGTGTTTTATAAGATCTGCCATCTGCCTGTTGGGTGCCATTAACCCATGTCAGCCTGTAAGCGTACGTGTCAGATGCAGCTACACAGTATAGAGCCATAATAACAGTTAATTTGATACCAATCCTGGTTGTTTTTATGTGTTAAGTTTGTTACTCCTTTTTGTATTTTAATGCATTCACAAAACATATTATTTATTAATGAGCCGGTACTAGAAGTAATCACATTCACTGTTTTTTTATTATTATTATCTCTGTTTGCAACAGTCTGGTGCAAAAATTGAACTATAATTGTACCGTACAATTCTAATTATTCTGTATATTGATTAATTGTACTGTAGTCTGTGTCTTAGTGTTGAATGGTGATGGGGGTTGGGATACAATACGACGTCTGCTTCATCCAACCCCGATTCAAAACTGTATCAGAAGATATGGGAAATTGTGCTGTGCAGGTTTTAGATAAATTTAACTAAGTTTCTAGATTAGTATCTGCTTAGACTGTTGCCCCCCCCCCCTTACCCGGCAACGGATAAAGCGGAAGAAAATGGATGGGTGGATAATTGGATAGTATCTGTTGAAATCTAATCTGCTGTTGTGTTTTTTTTAGTTTTACAAAAATGAATAGATTTGAATGAATTAAAACATGACACTAACATTGGTTTACAGTGAATTGTAGACACGAGTCTTTGTACTCCGGTCAAAACACAAACACTCAATAATGGCGCTTTACTCCTGGCGTTGGCACTTTTTTGATTTGTGTGCCCCTCAAACTGCTGACATGTCGTTCTCTTCTATCCCCGCTCTCATCTTTCTCTCCTCTCTCACAGTGGGAATGTTGTGGGCTATCACGTGGTGGCCCCCTGTAAGCCCTGCCTGCTCTCCTGCAACAACGGACACTTCTGGATGTTCAACAGCGACGCCGTTTCCACCCTCAACAGACTGGACGCAACAGGTCGGACTCACGTCAGAGCGCACACACTGTTTGTATTGCAGAACAGTCATCATAATGGCATCACAAACTCTACATTAACACTGCAATACATACACCAGCATTCTAATTAGAGCTGCAACTAACGATTATTTTGTAATCGATTAATCTATCGATTATTTTTACGATTAATCGAGTAATCGCTTGGCTGTGAATTGTGTAGAAAAAAAATATTTTTTCATCACAAAAAGCTAAAGTGGCAACACTTGAGGACGTATTGATGGCATAAACTTAAAGTAAATGTTTGTAACAGGCTCTTTGTGCTAATTCTGCTCTGATTGGATGAGACAGACAGATATTCATGAAATTATAAAAACAAAGTCGGTTTTAATCAAAAATTCTACATTTTCATGTCATTTTTGCTCGGTTTGAGTCCGTGTGAACCAGAAAACGATTGATCGATTACTAAAATAGTTGTCGACTATTTCAATAATCGATTAGTCGTCGATTAATCGATTAGTTGTTTCAGCCCTAATTCTAATACATTCTATAGTCTGTAAATAAGGAGAGGACCGGCTGGGAGCTGCTGTCACCGTAGTGTTGCGGACAAAGGTGTTTTGAACGTATGCTAGCGTGGCCATGTTTTCTTTCTTTCATCTTTTTACTTTGATTTAGTTTTTTGTGTGACTACATTGTGGGTTGCGACCACCAGAATGTAGCACGTACCATAAACTACCTTTCACAATAAAAAGAATCATGAAAAGAAAACAAGCTAGCTGGAGGCAGTTTCCTTATATGGGCGTTTGTTCCGATGGCGTTAGTTTTGCGCTGTAACCGGGGCAGACGTGTTGCTAAGGTGGTTGCTAAGGCAAGATGGAGTTTACCCCTGCAAAAATAGGCAATTCTTACGGTTTTTATCTGGTTTTACAAAGACAATATAAACACCAGGATCACAGAGAAATAAATTTTAAGACTAAAATGATGATTGTGACGCATTGTAATACGCACTGTCCCATTAAAAAATAAATTACATTTTCATTGCTGATATGAAGCTCAGATCCTGAAGTAACATACGGCATATCATGGAAAACTCAAAGCAAAGATACGTTCTGAGAGACGGATAAAAACATAGGATTTATTTTGTTTAAACTACTGAATTCCACCTTCTTCTATAAACAGTGGTATGAAAAAGTAGGCCACACTATTGATGAATACAAACTTTATTTCACAAATATCAGTGTTTTTCTCCTATATGATACATTTAACTGACATTTCTTATCCAAACAACCAATGAAGTATAAAGGAAATGGGAATGGACAGGGGTGCCTAAACTTTTTCACACACTGTAAATAACTGTGCAATGGTTAAAACAGGATTATTTAGCTCCACATTTCAATACACACTTCTCCTTTAACATGGACAGACATCTTTCAAAACACATGGGATTTTAAAGGGCGTTTCGTTTAGGCCTCAACCTGCTGCTGTGGGGCGACCTCCCGGAGCTCGAGGACAGCGACGACGAAGAATCGGAATCTCCATCAGAGGAAGAGTGCATCAGGTAAACGGGGAATGGACCGAAGTGACTTGAACTCAAAGCGCCGGGTAGAAGAAGAAGAAGAAGGAGGAGGAGGAGACGCCGCGTGTACAGTGTAAACCATGCTTCAGCTGAGAAACGGGAGCCTCAAAGGGTAAATTCAACACTTCGACCAATATCTGGAGGTTACGGGCTTCTCACACGTCAACACGGGTCTATCTGAGAATATTAGACCCACGTGTAAATCCAACTAGAATTTCAAAGGGAAAAAATATTATTGCTTTTTAACATTCCCTCTATGCTGTTTGAATGAAATGATATGTTATTTTTCTGGTTATTTAACTCTTCTTTTACAATTATTTCTATAGCAAACTTATAGATTATTTTTTTCACCACTGCATAAACCTCGTCTCGTTCCAAACACTCTGTAGCAGCACTTACCTCAACGTCGAAACCAAAATGTATTTAAATATACATTGCGTCTAGTTCCTCGTTTATGTTCTGTACATATTGCTGGAGAAGCCCATGCGCGAGTCGCTTTTTAAGATATATTGCTATATTTTTGGGCACATTTGACTTGATCGTGACGTCATCAGCCTGATTCTGAAATGAAAGCAAACTTGAATGTTTTGCCGACGTGTGACTGTTCACAAAACCTTTTGATATAATCTGAAAAAGCACACACCAGCGTATAATCTATTCATAACAATAATAATCCTAGGATGTCTTGCGGTAACCCATTGCTTCCATACGCATTACCACAACTAATCTGCCTTTCTCCTCACCACTTTGTTAATATTATGAGTTCAAAATAGGACTTAAATGGGACTATACTGTTTATTATGATGAGGATTTACCCAAATTCTAGTTAATATATTTGTGGTATTGCCTTAACTCACAATAACAGTTGTCTTAGAGGGCTTTACATAGTTGTAGATTACTCAAAAACAGATCTGGGATTCAAACGGTAAATAAACACAGGAATTAAAATGATGGCAAACACTTAGGATCCATTGATGACCAGTGTCCTAAAATATCCTGGATCCTTACTGTCCTTAGACCGTCCTGCATCTGCAAGGAATGAGTCAAGAATCTATCCCAAAGTAAGTTCTTAAACTCTACAAAAAATATTGAATAGAAACAGTATTCATCTTGATTTGTCTATTTTTCCAACTAGCAAGTATATTCTCATTTCAAAAGAGAAATGGCTGGTTTTTATCATTCTTGAGCCATTATAAAATCACTCTGTTAATGATAAATACAATACAACTGCTTTTTTTGGGGATAATTCTTTTTTAGAAATACACTCCAAGTTAATATTTGTGTTCATTCAGTTTTCTCTCAAACACACATTCTCAAAAATGTGTGTGTAAACTTTTGGAATATCCAACTCTCACAACAGTATATAATAACAACGACAGACTCATTTCCCAAACCCGTGGCCTCTGATTGGTTGTGTCTGAAGTGTTGAATTGCCCTTTCTGTCGTGTTTATGGCCTTCTTCATCCTCATCACTGTTTAAAGCACAGATATCCTCTCTCTCTTTCTCTGGTCTCGCTCTCTCTGGTTTCTCGCTCTCTCTGGTCTCTCTCTCTCTCTGGTCTCTCTCTCTCTCTGGTCTCGCTCTCTTCTCCCTCTCTCTCTGGTCTCGCTCTCTCTCTCTAGTCTCTCTGGTCTCTCTCTCTCTCTCTGGTCTCTCTCTTGCTCTTTCTCTCTCTCACTCTCCTTCTGGTCTCCCTCTGGTCTCTCTCTTTCTCTATCTCTGGTCTCTCTTTCTGGTCTCTCTCCCTGGTCTCTCTCTCTCTATCATCTCTCTCTCTGGTCTCTCTTTATCTCTCTCTGGTCTCTCTCTCTGGTCTCTCTCTCTGGTCTCTCTCTCTCTGGTCTCTCTCTTTTTGCTGCATCGTCTCGGACTCTTCTCCTCGAGACCCAAACCTCCTCACTGCTGTTTCCAGTCGCACACGTGGATCTGATCCTCGCACACGTGAACGCTTTCTCTCTGCTGCTTCAGTCCTTTTTCCAAAACAGATGTATATTAAACGACAGGACTTTTTAATCTTTCTACAGTAACCTCTTTCTCTCTGTACTGTTACTACTGAGACTTCCATTAACATAAGGCTTATACATCATATATATATACAGTATATATGGTCTATATATTTTCAGTGTGCCTGATTCACGACTCGTGTGTTTTGAATTTTGTGAATGGGGAAATGGTAGCACAAATATTTATTATAATATTTAATTTAAGGGCATTTATTGTGACAGAGTAACTTAATAACGGGATGGGGTACTGACGAGGTGATACTAATGCAGCAAGAGGACGACTCTCTGGATGAATTTGACAACACCTACTAATGTATTAACCTCTGACACTACGAGAAGTTGGATTGTTGATCTACTAATGACTAACGCAGGTACAAAGCGTGTGTTTTTGTTGAGTTGTGTGTAGCAGCTTGATTATAGCACCAAACGAGAACATTTCTAACCAAAATGCTTTGTGAGTCTCGGGCACAAATGGTCATAAAAGCAGAGACGGACTCAAGAAAACTAGTCTTTTAAAAGTGGTTTCATATTTATTGATTTAAGTTCAACATTGTGCATCTTAGTAATGTCTTCATCAGATGTATTTTTAAAATTTATTTTATGTTTTGTTATAGTCTAATCCCAAACAGAACATACATGACTTAAACAAAACAAAAAGAAATGATTACAAAGTTTACATGTGCATAAACGTGCACCTTATTCCTTTTTTTAACATTTTGTTGTGGTCTTTTTTTAGTTTTTTAAAAATGTTTTATTTAAGTGGGATATAAAGACATGGGAAATTATCTTTATGACATAATAAAAACAATTATAAAACTCTAGATTAGCCCTCACTAATTCATAATGAGTGTACCCTAAACCCACAGTTACTTAGATGTAGAATAAGACCATGAAGGACTAAAGTGCTTAGTAAATACCAATAAAGAGCTAATTAAACATATATTTTACACCAATTAGCACTTAATGAACTGTTAATTATTGAGGGCTAAACTAAAGTGTGACAAACAATTGAATGTATATTAGTTTAAAAAAAAGTTTGTAGTAGTTTTGTATAATTAATGTGTATATTTTTTTCCATATTTCATGTTTTTTTTTTTTTATTTCAGTAATGTGTTCTTTAACCAAGGACTATCAAAGTGGTACTAAAAAGAGAATTACATCTATGGATTGATAATTATAACAATATTTTTCCATGTAAATCCTGTTTCTGCACTGAACCTGATCATTTGTGCTTCTCTTTGTTAACATGTTTTGATATTCTCTCGATTCTTTTGCTGCAGACGTTAACGGTAAAGAAGCCTTTTACAATTGTCTTATTTTAATTGACCAAAAATGCGTCTCCAGCCGTCGTGTTTGCTGAAGGCTAATTACAAAGCTATCACGCTAACGAAGTCACTAAACCACTGATTGGCCTTTTCAGCCGCCGCAAGTGCACAGTTCACCGCTAAAGCTAACTATACCACATGGGGTGCAAAAGTATGGACGCCTGGATCAAAAAGTTTGGAAACGGAAGAGAGAAAAGTAACAGAAACATGATAAATTATCTCAGTCATGACGTTGCCAAAAAAAAAGTGTATTCCCACTTTTTTGTTGGTATTTTTAAAGTATGCCCAAGAGGTCTGAGGGTGGAGCTATAGAGGTCTGAGGGCGGGGCTATAGCGGTCTGAGGGCGGAGCTATAGCGGTCTGAGGGCGGAGCTATAGCGGTCTGAGGGGCGGGGCTATAGCGGTCTGAGGGGCGGAGCTATAGCGATCTGAGGGGCGGAGCTATAGCGATCTGAGGGGCGGAGCTATAGCGGTCTGAGGGTGGAGCTATAGCGGTCTGAGGGTGGAGCTATAGCGGTCTGAGGGTGGAGCTATAGCGGTCTGAGGGTGGAGCTATAGCGGTCTGAGGGTGGAGCTATAGCGGTCTGAGGGTGGAGCTATAGCGGTCTGAGGGTGGAGCTATAGCGGTCTGAGGGTGGAGCTATAGCGGTCTGAGGGTGGAGCTATAGCGGTCTGAGGGTGGAGCTATAGCGGTCTGAGGGTGGAGCTATAGCGGTCTGAGGGCGGAGCTATAGCGGTCTGAGGGCGGAGCTATAGCGGTCTGAGGGCGGAGCTATAGCGGTCTGAGGGCGGAGCTATAGCGGTCTGAGGGGCGGAGCTATAGCGGTCTGAGGGGCGGAGCTATAGCGGTCTGAGGGCGGAGCTATAGCGGTCTGAGGGGGAGCTATAGCGGTCTGAGGGTGGAGCTATAGCGGTCTGAGGGTGGAGCTATAGCGGTCTGAGGGCGGAGCTATAGCGGTCTGAGGGCGGAGCTATAGCGGTCTGAGGGCGGAGCTATAGCGGTCTGAGGGCGGAGCTATAGCGGTCTGAGGGGGAGCTATAGCGGTCTGAGGGCGGAGCTATAGCGGTCTGAGGGCGGAGCTATAGCGGTCTGAGGGCGGAGCTATAGCGGTCTGAGGGCGGAGCTATAGCGGTCTGAGGGCGGAGCTATAGCGGTCTGAGGGCGGAGCTATAGCGGTCTGAGGGCGGAGCTATAGCGGTCTGAGGGCGGAGCTATAGCGGTCTGAGGGCGGAGCTATAGCGGTCTGAGGGCGGAGCTATAGCGGTCTGAGGGCGGAGCTATAGCGGTCTGAGGGCGGAGCTATAGCGGTCTGAGGGCGGAGTTATGGACTTGTAGCTAAAACCTGTAATTTTTTGCAAACGCCACGGCCCTAACTTTATGCTGATTATGATTCTGCAAAGTTAGAATATTTCTGGGGGAAATACTAAGTCCTGAGAGGTTTTTCCCTGTTCTTCCTTACAAGACATCTTGCAGTTACTGGGATTTGCTTCATCTTAGGCCTCTTCTTATCAAGCATAAATCAAATTCCACGTTAAGTTTCCGAACTTATAAACAAATTCTTTCCAACATTTCAGAACGCTGCTTGTTGGATCTTTCACTATAATCGAGAATTTAGTTTGTACAGACTAATGTCAATTTTGATAAATGAGGCCCCAG